TCAGTTGCACTAACCTTTGTACACCCCTGACTTTTTATCTAGCACCATCATATGGCCTTCATTCTCATTTGTCGAATGCTTTAGTTATAATCAAAACCTGCAAAGCTAATGGCATTCCCATCATCCTCAGCTGTACTAGCCATAAACACATGGCTACAGAGCAAATGTTGGCGTGCTAACACTCTAAACTAAGATCGTAAACCTGGTAAACATTATACTTCCTTGATATAAGCATGTTAGCAATGTACAAAGTAGAGCCCCACAGAGTCATGGCTGCAGGCTCTCAGTCTTCTTTGAGATCTGCTGGTAAAGGACAAGAAACCCTGTGTGCTGCAATCTTTCATTCATAAAGTGCAGACCTGAAGTTGGTCTGTATGTGTGAAGTAAGATCAGGTGGTTCAGGCTCAACAAGTCTGAACAGCTGGCAAAGGATCTCTCTGCAGACAAGTGGCAGACTAACGCTGCTGGTTGGCCAGCCTACATGGATCTGGATTACAGCCAGCCATATATAGTATCCTGAAGCACACAGAGCTGCTGCTGAGTAAGACCGAATAACGAAAAGCACTTTCATTACATTAGGGTCTGTACTATATGGTGAGTGCACTAAAAAAATCTAGTCAGGAGAGGGTGCAAGAATGAGTAATTTACAGTTAATGATCCAGGCTTTATAACAAATGCTCACTGCATTACAATTTTACATGCTGTTGTTAATAAGGCGAATGCATTAAATATGAAGTTAGAGCTGGGAGTCAATTAACCTAGCTTAGCTTAGCATAAATACTGGAAACAGGGGGAAACTGTGCTGTTTAATGGTAACTAAATTAGCTAAGCAACACATCTAAAGCTCACTAATTAACATGTTATATCTTATGTGTTTAATCTGTACAAAAAACGGAATCTCTCACGTTTGTCTGGCAACCTCACGTGACGACAAGAAGAAGAAGTCACTGTACTTCTTTAAAACCACAGCTTCTTGTTTTTACACTTTGTATCACTTAAGCAAACTAAATATACCATTCATTAGTGAGCTCAGAGGAGCTGGTAGGCCAATTTGTTACCTTGGGACAGAGCAGACTAGCCGTTTCCAGTCTTGTTAAGCTAACATATTCATATTTAACGGTCACACAACAGAGTGGTATCAATCTTCTCGTCTAACTCTCAGCAAGAAAGGAAATCAGCCTATTTCCCCAAATACCAAACGGTTCCATTAAGTGTTGCAAAAAGTTAGCAACTCACAACTCAATATAACCACAAATTCAGCTAGAGGAATTGTAACAGGGTAACTTAATCCATCACTGAAAAGGTTATCGATTCTCGTTAGCTCCACAGAGCCTGCAGACTCCGGTCTAGTCAATGTTAGTGGGTAGTTGAGAAACATTCTGTTGTAACAAGAGACACATAAGTCCTTACACTCATTAACCCTTTTAGATGGGCAACATTGAGCAGCAGGCAAAATATTTCTATTTTTCCATCAATATTTCATCACCGGCTCAGGCCAAACAAAGCCAGGGGCTTTGACCGTAATGGTCCCATCTGTCTATAGATCTTAAGGACATCAGTGTATGGGTGTCCTTTGACACCAGAAAATAGGCTTCGACGTCAAGCAAAACACTGCACTCACACTCACAGGATCCATGGATGTTAGCCTGGAAGGCAAAGTGTATCCTGCTTTATTCTGATGGTTCCTCACAGATGGCCTCTTGATGTTGTAGCCCGAGATCAAGTTTCAAGTATGAATGAAGTGGATATTTCAGCTATTAGGACAAATCAGCTCTGTAAGAGTACATCAATGACATTTGCACTCAATAAGTGATCTGAGTAGTATTAATTAACAAATTAATACAACTCACAACTGCTGGAAATATCTGTTCCCCTCTCAGCTGATACAAATTCCCCAATTCCCTGAGTTTGCTCAGAAATAATACAATAATCCTAATTTAGTCAAACTCAGCCACCACATTAAGAAAAAGCTGTTTAATCAGCCGCGAATCTCTCACACAATATGAGCTGTTCGACATCTGATTACTACTATTTATCCTACTCCACCTAGTTCTACCTATGAATATAAAAAGCATAAATATAAATAATATATTAATATTAAGCCAACAGTATTGATATAATATCCTGGTCTGTAAATCGCTTATTGTTTCTTAGCAGTAAGAGAGTGACCTCATCATCTTTGCCAGGCCCATTAGCGTCTGTACAAACCTCAGGGGACCTGTCCATTAACCCCTTACCTGCTAAGTAAAGTAGCATTAAGTGAAATGTTCAGAAACAAGGAGCAACTGACAGTTTATTGAGGTATCACTGAGTGTTATTTGTACATGCACAAAGAAAATATGATGTGATAGTGCTAAAAGCTAATATTCAGTTAAAGTTAAAATAAGTTAAAGTAGCCAATGTTCAAATAATGTTCTATGCAGAAGCTGAACTAAATGTGGAAATGTGTGGAAAAGGACCAGAGACAGGGGGACTGACATTACAATAGAGCTTTGATACAACTCATTGGGCTTGGGTTACACAAACCATAGTGAAGGAGAGCCACTGCGGCTTCTAATTGGTGGTAATTAACCCCCCATGGTTATTGTTCCTGCCTCATTGTGTTTTAAGAGGAGAGGTCAGTGAACATGGGAGCTTTTGGCACACAGACAGGTAGATGAAGAGCACAGATTGAATGACCACAAAATATTCGGACAAAAGACATTCTGACGTGCTTTGTTCGGTTAATTATCACTTATAATTATTAGACCCCGAAAATGAATATCACTGTTGCTGAGTAAAAAACCTGGCAATTCCAATTGCTGATTTTTGATTTACTAATGCTTTAAATATCTACTATTACCATTAAGAAGAACAAATTTGGGGTTGCCAGGTTGTTACTGCCTATGAAGAATCTAGACCATAATCCATGTACTGACAAACATTTTTTTTTGTGTTTATGAGAAAGTGAGAAACCCTGGTGCATTAATTAATGGATTACTGACATTTGCAATTGAATTAACAAATGAAAGGACACCAGGCAAAGGGATTTTTTCACATTCTGACAGACCAAAAAGTGTTCTTAGCAATAGCCTATAACTTAACACTTGTAGCAAGTTACCTATTACCATTAATAAAGCTATTAGTTCCAAACCATTTATAAAAAAGGTACCATTTCATAAAGTGGCAAACAAATGGAACAAAAAATGTGCACCTTAAACTCAACACTTCTACACTTTCTTGTATCATTCATTTCAGGCGTGGCCCCACTCATCGCCAGTGGCCCTCTGCACTTCATCTTAAGAGGTCATAGACCCTGATCCTGAACAATAGCCTCCTTTGTACATGTGCTGTTGGAGAGTGACAAGGACTTGAAGGTTAGTGGACCTGGACTCCTGAGGAGACGCGGTCATACAGGGGTGTCCATTAGGGCTCGATCCTGTGACGCCGCCGACTGTCATGTTGCGCTATTGTTACACGGCTCTCCCCTGAGAGGTGGACACAGAGTGGGTAATGAGGGGTAATTGGTCCAGGGTCAAGGATGATTAATTCCCTTGGTCAGGTGTCAGCCAGTTTTCATACCTGGCTGGCTGGGCAGACAGGTAGGAGGGAGGGGAAAGGTGGATGGAATATGAGATGTGGTAGATGAGTGGGTAAGTAGATACGCGCACACACATGCACAGCCAGGATTGTTGATTAGTTTGGGCTTAAACAAAACTAAGCCAACATACAGAAACCATCTGTTTATTCCTAAAACACACACACAGACAGTACAGCGGCAGCTATCACATCAGTAAAAATTTCCCGGGATCATATCTTTACAGAAATAAAGTTGAAAGGTCACCACGATCCTCCCCCTCAAACCACTGAAGCCAGATTGAGATTGATAGCTGTCCCCATCCCTCCTACCTCCCCTTCAGCTTGACTGACTAATCTGAATACTTCTCCATCCATCCCTTCATTCTAACCGAGCAATTTTGGACACTGATTATCTTGCAACCTGTGTGTGCACGACAGTAAATGTAGGGGCTGGCTGGTAATTGACCAGGCAAAGACTGAGACGCCTGCCGTGTAATTGAGCGGGGGCTGAGGGGCTCTTTAAGGACTGAAAGGGTCCGAGGATCCCTCATTGCCCATTAGACCTGGCAGGGGGTCTCCTGTGCCTGTGGACTCCACCTTGAGGCTCACACTGTACCCAGCCCTTCAATGCAGGACTGACATCTTTTAGTGGTGGGGATTCGGGAGAGGAACAGAAATGTCCTAGAGAATAAAGTGTGATATAGTAGATGTAGTGAACTCTGCAATGGGTTTTAAACTCACTATGTTTGAGGATTTAAGCAAATTAAAACTACACATTCAAAACTTTCTGTAAAGACGGTTTGACTTCCTTGTGTGTTCGGAAAAAGACACTTAAATTGTTGTAGCATTAATCTCTAAATAAGTGACGGTCATGATGGAGCAGCACCACGAGTAAAAGATGTGAGATTTGTGTTTTGTCAAATAGTGAATGACAAAAATAGTCTACCTTTGTCTTTAAAATGCTTCCCCCCCCTTTCATCTGTTCTCTAACCCTGGAGACCCCATGCTGAGCAGGGAAATATGCATATGTGGCCAATTGGTTTTCCTTCCATCTGACTTGTGCCATTTGAGCTCAGAAATGGCCTCATGACTTCTGCTCCAGTGGCTATCAGCGAGCCACCATGTTGCCTTTCGCCTGTGTCAAACCCATGCACTTCTGCTGCTTCATCTACATATTGTAAATATGATACGGTGTCCTCGCTGCCCTAAAGTCTTCACGGGGCAATGATTGTACACCCCCACCCCCGAAAGTTAAACAGGCAGGCATTAATAAAAAAAAATAAAAAAAAACAATCTGCCAAAGACATGAACAATTAAGCACAGACACGTTAAATCTGACAGGGGCTGACGTGCATCACCACAGTGTTTGCATGTAACCTGATGATATATTTTCTGTAATGAATTAAGAAAAGAGCAGAGGAAGAAATAAACAATTCACTCAGTTTTATTTCACTTCATTAGTTTTAATATTTGTGTTGACCTACTAACAAGAATGAAATAAATTCAGAACATAAAATATTAAGAAATACATCTCGCTAAAATGCCCATCCAGGATAGATTTAACAATGAACTGTACATCTAATTCAAACTATTTTCCTGTCATGAGGTTACATTTCGTAGAGTTTTCTTCCTCCACTCTTCACTACCTAAAAAACTTCAACAAGTTAACAGTTAGAGTGATGTGCTTGCTAATGTGTTAGATACCTGAGACTAAAAATAACTACCAGTAGACAAACCTACTACTGCTTAAGACACGTGGAGAGAAGAAAGATGGTTCACAGGACTGCAACCGTTACTGCTTGGTGCTGGAGAAACCCTGCAAACGATGGTGTTCCCTTAACCTGTGGAGGAGAACAAGAAGGAGAAAGAATTGTCACTTTTAACAGTTTTGTACAGCTGTTGGAAATTACTATATTAGGGATTATTATACGGGATGCTAACCTGACAGCATTAATCCTGATGAATCCAGAGGCATCACATGGGTCGTAGTCTCCCTGCACATCCATGCTGAGTTGAAAAGAAGTAAAGAAAGAGACAGGTGAGACCAATCTTCAAATTTTAGCTTGAGGAAGGAAAACTCAAGAGAAACCAAGAACTGGAGGAAAAGGGTATAGGATGTTCTGGTAACATAATGATTGAAATGTTTGGTATCATTGCTGTAAACATAAGAGACATGGAGCCCCATCAACTACTGGGATAGCTGGATCATTGATAAACTGCTCTTTTGAAATAACGTTTCCATCGATTTTTCTCTGAATGCTCCTCTTTAGCATTGTTTGTCCTGAATAACAGAATCAATATCGCAGAACGAAAACACACTCATGTCCACGAGCACACAAAGGATTCACGTAATCCATTTTAAAACAATCCCATCATATCAACTCTGATTCAAGTGTTGAGATGATTTTGTAATCTGATGTTTTTGTCTTCCAGTTTATCCACTTCCTTCGAAAAGATGTCAATCTATAACTTCTGCCACTGCCTGCTCTATGTTGTTTAGGCTGCTTGTTGTAAAGTCATTTCTTTCTTAGTGCGAGTGTCTCACAAAGGGTGCCCGTGTGCTGTGTAATTACAGCAGTTTCTACCTGCAGTGCTTAATACACTCCCTCACTGAGTCCTCTCCTCCCTATGACACCCCCAACTCCCAATGTACAGCTTGCACTCATTCTTCAAAAGCACTTAGCAAAAGAGGAAATTGCCAACAAATGATAGGATAAACACTATAAAAAGAAAGAGCGACAACTAAATCATCAACTCTCAATACAAGGCTCCCTACCCGGCACCTGAACACCATTATGAGTGAGTGGCTTAAAAGAATATGGCACTCTGTGTGTGTGTGTGTGTGTGCAAGCATGTGATATTTTGTGTATTCCTTTAAGAAACCCTGCAGTCTAATTGAGAGTGGAGCCAGCGGACAGCGAGGAGGGTGACATTTCTGTCTCAGATGGGTGCGGCGATGGGCTGTATTACCACTGTGTTAATGACGCCGTTTACTGTTGCCCGTGGAGAGCCAACAGGATGTCAGCGGTGGTTTCATGCCTGGTCTGTGTGTGTGTCTCTGTGT